TTTGTTTTTTTGTTTTTTATTTTTTGTGTGGTGTGCTCTGCTCTAATCAGATATGTGGAAAGGAAATAAAAAAATAAAAACAAAAATGAAAAAAGAAATATCATGGTGGAAGTGGAAGAAGACTGATTGACCACAAACACTATTTAATTATTTATTTGGTATACACTATTCAGAGTTAGGTTATGGAATATAAATCTCAAATGAATACTTCATTTCACCGTCAAGTTATACTTTTCATTACACTAGTGTTGATACCCGTGCGATGCACAGGGTGCAATACAAATAATATTATTTATTTAAATAATATAAAATTATTTAAGACAATATAAAATTATATTATCCACAATATTCTATTCAGTAACAATATGACATTTATTTATTTATTATTATTGTTCATTTCTATTTTTATATATTGTTTTTGTAGTTTTTGACTATTTAATATATAAATTTTATTATTTATAAGTTTATATAATATTATAAATGTATAAGATCATATGATATTTGCATACAAGTTACATATATGTACTTATAAAATTGTCGTTTATCATAGTCTTATAACTTTGTTAATTCATAATTTGCACTTGATAATTGACCAACGTTTAACCCATATTTTTTATCTCCCGCTATAATTATTAAGTGCATTAAATGTCAAAAATTTTGATAAATAAATTTTTAATTTTTTAATCCTTATGAAACACACATTTTTTTTATGGTTAAATATTTTATTTTTATTTTTTATTTTTATTATATTTAATTCTTTAATTCATTTTCAACCTATATAATTAGTTACATACTATCTATTCGAATATTTAGATATATTATATATTTCCATTAATACGTAGTACTATAATTTAAATTATTATACATTGCTTTATTATTAACTTATTTTTCATTTATAAAATAGTATACAAGAAAAAAAAATATATTTTAAAAAATTGAATAGTTTTTTTAATGTACATCGATACATCTAAGGAGAAATTTATAATTTCGAATTTCACCCGACTATCAAATTTTATTTTTATTAGTATATTATTTAAATTTTCAATATTATTATCACTGCATATGATATATTCAATGGAGATGTACCTTTATATAGTTAAATTGACTACATTTTAAAAACTTTTATTACCATTTTAAATTATTTATTAAGTTATTATGATTTAAACATAGTTATTCTGTTATTTTATTAAACATTTTAAAAAATTATGAATAGTGAATATAATTAATTAAATTAATACCTACAACTATAGATGATAATATATTTAATCAGGTCAATTTTCATAATAAATTTTTGAATTGTGTCAATAAATTATTATTAAATTAATACAAGATCTTATTTAAAATATTTTTAATAAATTTACGCTCAACATTTCAATTTAAGCCCATCTGTAGTTAATGAATATCAGTCATTTAATGTATAAAAATTAATTATTTTTTTCATGTATATGATTTGCTAATATATAAATGTTAATAATATGTCAAATATAGATGAAAATATTTCCCGCACAAAAATCATGTCAATTATGGCAATAAAGATTGGTCCATTATATAGATATAGATTGTATGGACATGTGTGCATGTTGTATTTATAATTCAGGGAGATTCTACAGTCCTCTTACGAAACTATTCCGTCTGGGATTATAACCGTTAGATCAATTATTCACGACGGTTACATGACCGAATTGTTCCGTAACGAAATTGTAGCGTTTTCCTATAATTAAATACACAAATGCCATATAACCCATAGTTGTACTTCCTTTTGTGTAATTGTGTACCATTAATTAAATATTAATTAAATAAGAGTCTTGTAATAAAATTCAAAACTGATATGCTTGGTAAAACTAGCTGATAGTTAATAAGCTAGTTTATAACTGATGACTAATAACTGAAAAACTAGCTTATGTGATAAAAATATTTATGGTAAAATTGACTTATAGGGTAGTTGAAATCAAAATTTCAACGAGTTTCATTGAAAAATTGTTTAAAAACGCTTATCAGATAAGCTCGATCACTGTAAAAAAATCGTTATACCAAACTAAGTTTATATGAATACATGAAACTTATAACTAATAAAATAAGCTATAAACCAATTTATTTAGTTACAAAACATAGCTTTACAATTAACTGGACTTTGATCTAATATGACTTATCCAATCATGGCCTTAAAATGAATACACCAATTTCAAAATCTTAAATTTATTAAAACATCTAAAATGAATATATACCCTATAATAATCTTATAAAAATGTCGAATTTAAAAAAAAATAAAAATTATTTGTCACTTAAAATCTCCTAAAAAAACATATATCAAAAGACAAATATGATAGATAGTTAGGGTGTGATTGTATATAAATTCAATAGTAAAAAATTTAATTAAAACTCAAATTTAACTCAACTTTAACTCTACCCCACTATCTTCAATATTACTGATATAATTAAATAATATCAACCAATAATTCTTACACATCACATCAACTTTAATTCACTATTTATTCACTCACATAATTCTAACTAACTATCACTTCCAATCATTTTTCTCCTACTTTACGTCAAATCAATTGTAATAATTTTATTTAAATATTATTTTAATATGCCCACTAACAACTAACCACACCGCTTTTTTCAAAATTAACTATAGTTAAAAATAAACTAAATAAAAACTACTAGTTTTTTTACTATTGAAACTATAAACAATCACCACCTTAGCATCTCAATTTCACGCGTTTTCCCTGTGGGCCCGAATATCATAATGACCCGGCCCGAATAAAAACCCGCTTTCGTAACTGGATGTCGGTTTGAACTTGGACCCATCATTTATTTCCGCATCATCGTCTGCGACAAAAGAAACAACAGGGACGAACGTCCCATGAACAACTACCAATCAAAAGATTATCCTCAAATTTTTCATCAATTTTACTGTCCTAACGCTGAGTGATCTAACAGCCGCCATCGAAATTCTAACGATCTTTCACCTGGGCCCTTTCATCTCCTTCCCAATTCTCGTATTCGGCGCAGATTTTTTTCGCGGGGCGGTAGGATGCTGGTGTGCCAATGTCTATATTGGAACAGGGTTCGCGATGCAACACAAACCGAACCCGATTATTTCTCTCTGCCCGACCCGATCCCACATTGGCCCGAAGGTAGCCATGGTGCCCTTTGTGTTTTCTCTTTTCAGGTTTTGGTTCGCCATGGTTGATATTTGCACATAATGTTTGGTTTTGTATTTTGAATTGTGGGTACTTTTTTTTTTTTTTTT